CCTTTCAATTACTTCCTCTCCCCCTTATTGCAACAATGGGAAATTGTTGCTCTCATGGACGAGACTCAGGGAACAACAATGACGAACCAAAGCCCGAAAATGGAGGAGGAGGAGGCGTGGCGGGTGCTGGTGCGGAAGCCTCTGTGAGAGCCGCTTCTAGACATCCACCAGCTTCTCCTCCTCCTGCAACCAAGCAAGGTCCCATAGGACCTGTCTTAGGCCGGCCAATGGAAGATGTAAAGAGCTCATATTCATTGGGCAAAGAGTTGGGTCGTGGACAATTTGGTGTGACCCATCTCTGCACCCAAAAGGCCACGGGACTGCAATTCGCGTGCAAGACCATTGCGAAAAGGAAGCTTGTGAACAAAGAAGACATTGAAGATGTGAGAAGGGAGGTGCAAATTATGCATCACTTGACAGGTCAACCAAACATTGTAGAGCTTAAAGGAGCTTATGAGGATAAACATTCTGTGCATTTGGTTATGGAGCTTTGCGCGGGCGGAGAGCTGTTTGATAGGATCATTGCAAAGGGGCATTACTCAGAGAGAGCCGCGGCTTCGTTGCTACGGACTATTGTTCAAATTATCCATACTTGCCATTCCATGGGGGTTATTCATAGGGATTTGAAGCCTGAGAACTTCTTGTTGCTTAACAAAGATGAGAATTCTCCTCTCAAAGCCACAGATTTTGGCTTATCCGTGTTCTACAAGCCAGGAGAGGTATTCAAAGATATTGTGGGAAGTGCTTATTACATTGCACCAGAGGTGTTGAGGAGGAAGTATGGACCTGAGGCCGATATTTGGAGCATCGGTGTCATGTTGTATATCCTCTTGTGCGGTGTTCCGCCTTTCTGGGCTGGTAAGTAAAGATCGAAAATTTGTGAAACTTTTAGAAAACTTGTTTAAAGGTTTAATCATTCATATGTCTCTTTCAATCTGATCAGAGTCGGAGAATGGGATTTTCAACGCCATCCTAAGTGGTCAGGTTGATTTTTCGAGCGATCCGTGGCCAGTCATTTCACCCCAAGCAAAGGATCTCGTTAGGAAGATGCTAAACTCTGATCCCAAACAAAGACTAACCGCTGCTCAAGTTCTAAGTAAGCATTCACAACCACCATTAAAATTGAAAGAGAGAATGAACAAAGCTCTTTTTTAACATTCTTGTTTTTTTTTTCCTATCGTAAAGACCATCCATGGATTAAGGAAGATGGAGAAGCACCAGATGTTCCTCTTGACAATGCAGTGATGTCTAGGCTCAAGCAATTCAAAGCAATGAACAAGTTTAAGAAAGTTGCTTTACGGGTAACAACCATAACATTTTATGCTTCTTAAAATGTAACACCATGACTCCTATAGATATCTCACTGGCCTGCATCGACGAACAGGTGATTGCTGGATGCTTATCGGAGGAAGAGATCATGGGGTTAAAGGAAATGTTCAGAGGAATGGACACAGATAGCAGCGGAACGATAACTCTAGAGGAACTAAGACAAGGACTTGCCAAGCAAGGTACAAGGTTATCGGAATACGAAGTCCAACAGTTAATGGAAGCTGTAAGTCTCTCTATAAAGATGCCAAAAAACAAAAACAAAAACAGAGGAATAGACTCTTTATCACCACTGATTTTCTTTCTGTATTCTGGTTTCTACAGGCTGATGCCGACGGTAATGGAACAATAGACTATGGAGAATTTATAGCAGCTACAATGCATATCAATAGACTCGATAGAGAAGAACATCTCTACTCAGCTTTCCAACACTTTGACAAAGACAACAGCGGGTAAGTATCTAACAAGTTTCTAATTTATAATCATTTTAGTCACCATTTGCGTTCAAACCCGTATAATGCATGTTGTTTGGTAAAACAGATATATCACAATGGAAGAATTGGAGCAAGCACTCCGGGAGTTTGGGATGAATGATGGTAGGGACATTAAGGAAATCATTTCTGAAGTCGACTCCGACAATGTAAGTCCCTTTCAATATATCACAAATTAGTAATTTGATTGAACACATTCAACAATCTTCTTGTTGTCATAACATTTTGTAGGATGGTCGGATAAACTACGACGAATTTGTGGCGATGATGAGAAAAGGAAACCCGGATCCTAACCCGAAGAAGCGTCGCGAACTGTCGTTTAAATGACCATCCAATGGTAAAAAGTATGGAAGAGACGAGTCGGAAAAAAAGAGCAGCACATAAGAAAATGAATAGAAAGCTAGGCTTGGGTTGCTCATGATTGGGACTGGAAGAGAAATCACCAAGAGAGGAGAACACAAATTGTTAGAGAGGTGTTTGATGTTGGTAAAATATTTTATGCTCGTTTACTACTCTACTGA